TTTATGCAATCGCACTTTAACTAACTACCCAAACTCCGCTGTAAAAGACGATTTTGAGAGGTTTTTCACAATTTCGTGCCGCCTCTGCAAGCCCTGATGTGATCCATCATAGAAAACAGGTCTTCAGTTGTAACTTCTTATCAGTTGATACGAAGGAAAAGAAATTGAGCCAGTAGAAGTGATTCGAGTGGAAGTGATAGAAAATGAATTTGAAAAGGAACGTTACCCATCCCAACTGCCTACATAAGGTCATGGAAGTCTTTGCTCATTAAAAAACATTTTTCGTGGGCCCTTCTTAATCAGACGTTGGTCCGACGATACTTGTTTCGGACGAAAAACTCTTCAGTTGTAACTTCTTATCAGTTGATACGAAGGAAAAGAAATTGAGCCATTAGAAGTGAATCGAGCGGAAGTGATAGAAAATGAATTTGAAAAGAAACGTTGCCCGTCACAATCGTCTACATAAGGTCATGGAAGTCTTTGCTCATTAAAAAACATTTTTCGTGGGCCCTTCTTAATCAGACGTTGGTCTGACGATACTTGTTTCGGGCGAAAAACGGCTTCAGAAATCAGACGGCTGTGTTAAGGCTGCACCATTCACAATAAATCATTAGGACGCCGGCAAATAGTATGCCTATGTGGGAGACATCAGACGATTACAGACGCATTTCGTACGACCCCTTACTTTCAACTTTTTGGACGTCTAGAGCTGATGGGAGTTTTCATGAAGTCGGAGAATGATTGCCAGGATTTTTCACTCCTTTTTAGATCAATATTATTTTTTACATTGTGTCCCAAAATCTCATGTCGTCTCGATCCAAAGTTCTGCCAAACTTCTGGTATGTTTACTTATTTACACGGCCCTACCCCGTTTACCCTATTTAGTGAGCCTTCGAGAAGAAATGATCTCCGAAGAATCTCCAGGGACTATTGATATCACTTAAAGACTTTCCTGCGACTTTTTTATTCTGGAAATAAACGGACAAAGTAAAAAGAACGACAAGAATGTGTAAAGGGCACCGCGTATGACCTTCAGATTTTACAGGGGAACCAATCACTTTCATATGCGCTCAATCTAGTTTCCGAGGCAGCTTTACTACGAGACTAATGTTCGTGCGTTGGAAGGTTGACCCTTAAGAAAAACGTCTGAGGCCCCTTGAAATGTAAAGTTGCTGGAATCCGATTTCAGAGGCGCTGTATGGGCCGAGGTGCGCCATGCATCCGTAGACCTTTCCACATCGTTTGTTTGCCACTCACGATCAGAGGAGCGGTCTGTATGGAGCATACTTGAAGGATGGAATCCATGAAGTAAAAAGGCGCTGTCATCATCCAATAGCTTCTAGTCACGAAGCCAGACAAACTGACACTCCAACGTCTTCTGTCAATGTTACGGATCCCTATCAAAGCCCTGAAACCTGGTTCCAAGGCCAATATATGGGCAAGTATATGGGCAAGGTATTCTGGTGCAACCAAGTAAATAAGAAGCATGAAATGGTGGCAGAAAATCTTTGAAAATCACTCTGAAAAGACCCCGAAAAGTATTGAAACACATCCGATGCACACGGTT